TTTGAGGTAATTTTGGGGCGGTTTTGGGGTGATTCTGGGGCAGTTTTGAGGTGATTTTGGGACAGTTTGGGGTGATTTTGGGGTGATTTCGGGGCCGTTTTTGGGGCAATTTCCGGCCGATTTTGCATCGACAGATTTGGGTGACTTCGGGGCCGTTTTTGGGGCAGTCTGGGGTGACTTCGGGGCCGTTTTTGGGGCGGTTTCGGGGCTCTCACCGATGCCGTAGGTGACGTCCAGCGGCTCGGTCCTGGCCAGCAGCCCCACGCCGCTGTAGCCCGGCCGGTCCTTGGCGCTGCACCAGAACTGGTGCGGCAGCCCCGGCAGCGCCCGCACCTCGGCCGGCACGGCCGACACCGCGCACTTGGTCTCCTGCAGGCACAGCACGTCCGGGGCCTCCTCCTGCACCCACTGGGGAGCGAAAACGGGCAAAAAACACCCAAAAACGGTAAAAAACGGCATTAAAATAGCTAAAAATGGTGAAAAACGGCCCCAAAATGGCACAAAAACGCCCTGACACGGCACAGTTGGTCTCCTGCAGGCACAGCACGTCCGGCGCCTCCTCCTGCACCCACTGGGGAGCGAAAACGGGCAAAAAACACCCAAAAACGGTAAAAACGGCATTGAAATAACCAAAAATGGTGAAAAACGGCCCAAAAATGGCACAAAAACGCCCTGACATGGCACAGTTGGACTCCTGCAGGCACAGCACGTCCGGCGCCTCCTCCTGCACCCACTGGGGAGCGAAAACGGGCAAAAAACACCCAAAAACGGTAAAAAACGGTAAAAAACAGCATTGAAATAGCCAAAAATGGTGAAAAATGGTACAAAAACCCCCCAAAAACACCCTGACATAGCACAGTTGGACTCCTGCAGGCACAGCACGTCCGGGGCCTCCTCCTGCACCCACTGGGGAGCGAAAACGGGCAAAAAACACCCAAAAACGGTAAAAAAACGATAAAAAACGGTAAAAAACGGCATTAAAGTAGCCAAAAATGGTGATAAATGGCACAAAAACCCTGCCCCTCCCCATGTTCACAAGCCCCTCCCACATGTTCACAAGCCCCTCCCCATGTTCACAAGCCCCTCCCCCGGCGATAAGCCCCGCCCCTCTCACCTGGGCCCCGCCCTTGCGCAGCCACGCCCTCAGCCCGTCCACGTTCCATGACGTCACCTTGAGCGTCCAGCGCCGCCCATCGGGCGTGGTCTCGCGGGTGGGCGGGTCCTCGTAGGCCGGGGCCGGGGAGGGCTTGGGAGCCTTGGCGGGGGCGGGGCCTGCGGGGTGAGGGGCTAGCGGTTTGTACCGGTTTGTACCGGTTTGTACTGGTTTGTACTGGTCCGTACTGGTTTGTATTGGTCACTCACCGGCCTCGTCCCCGCTCCCGTTCTCCTCCTTCTTCTTCCCGCGCTTCGGCATGGCGCTGGCCCCGCCCCTTCCGCCCTTCAAGCCTCGCCTCTGTAACCAATCAGACCGCGCCGGTGCCTTAACCCCCGCCCACCTGCACTCAAGCCGAGCCAATCAGAGCGCGTCATGGCGCTCCCCCTCACAGAGCAGCCAATCAGAGCAAGCCCTGGCTTTAATTCCTCCCGCCTCCCCTCATAGCGCAGCCAATCAGAGCGCGCCTCCCCTCACGCCGCGGCAGCCAATCAGCGCCCGCCGCCGCCACGTGCGGCCCTAGGGGCGGGACCGGGGCCCGAACCGGGAGCGATCGGGCCCGAACGGAGCCTGAACCGGCACCGGGAGCGATCGGCTCCCAACGGGCCCGATCCCGCCCTCTGCGCTCCCCCGCCGCTTGTCAATCATCTTCCTCTGTGACCAATCAGCGCCCGCCCTTCTCCCGGT